TTTTTTTTTTGATCTTGCATTTTCTTATGTACTCGATGAAATTTTAAGCAATTTTTTGTGATTGGGGATATTTGCTTACTGAACCTGCATGTTTATGCAGGTTGGACTGGCGCCAGACATAGCCAGGCTACCTTGTATATATATCTGCTGGAAATTCTACATAAGCGAACACTATTTGCATTTGGTCTTGCTTAACAAGAATCAACAACAATTCTTTTTCCAATTTTAGGTCCCAGCGTATGAGGGCGACGTCAATCTTTTCGGTGCCGAGTCGATTGCCATCCATGTAGCAGGATGTGCTAACACTTGCGCCAAGAACGTGAGTACGTTCTTTATTGTTTTGATGTTTTATCGAAGCATGATTGTTGGGCTTATTTGACACGATGTAATCGTTCAGTGTGCTGAAGTCGTACAATGGTTGCAATGGGCTGAGGGTCATCTCCTACCTACAGTTCTGGGATACGTTCTTCCTTCAGTTTCTGCAGCAAACCTCGACAAGAAAGTACGTCGATCTATCGCTACCTTGATTTTTAGATTTCGCTATACTGTCTTTTTGCTCTGCATAGGTCGTTGACACCTACAAGGCAGAGTTATTGGCGCAGCTTCAACATCTTGATGAGGCTCTCCTCAGTAGGACATACCTTGTTGGAGAGCGCCTTTCCCTGGCAGATATCTCCGTTGCTTTGGATCTTCTACCTGCCTATCAGGTACGTTATCTGCATTTGCAGGCATTCAGCAAAAACTGACGACTCTGTCATTGTAGCATGTCTTTGATGCACCTACCCGCAAGAAGATCGGTAATGTCACGAGATGGTTCCAAACTGTGGTACACCAACCCATCGTAAAAGAAGTACTTGGTGAAGTTCACCTTTGCGATAAAGTTTCGCAGTTCAACCGTGAGCATTTCTCAGATCGTGCGTTTTTATTCTAAATTAATGGTTCATAATATCTATTTAAGAGGCTAAGTTCAACGAGCTCTCGTCCAAACACGCCCCCAAGCAGGAAAAGAAGAAGGAAGGTCAGTTGGTCTCATTAACATGTTGTTTCATAATTTTCTTTCATCTTCATTTTTTCCTAATTAAGGGGATGTTTTTGTGGTTGCATTTCCACTTAGTTAATGAACGAGACTTGTTCCTGTCTCTTTTCACAAATTATTTCTTAACATTGCGCAAGGGTAAAGTCGCCTTTTTCTAGTCGTAGCTTCTGTAAAAGTGCCCAATCGCTTTGAAACTGACCCCTGGGCTATGTTTTTTTACCTAGGAACAGCTATCTCTGAAAAATCAGAAATTTTTCAAAATCACACATTTGTTTACATTCTTTTTGAATAGAAGTTCAATCATGTATTTTCTTTTTTGTAAATTGGCTGCTGGTCCAATGTATTAACTAAGGAATG